TTGTGAATCTTCCTTCCAAAGTCAAAGAACAGAAATTTACAGTGCTGCTTTTATTGCAATAAAATTCCCAAGAAAAGCAACTTCAGAAAGATTTATTTTACATCACTGTTCCTAAGGTGTCAGTCCCTGGTCGCTTGACTCCATTGCTGTGGGAATGTGGTAGGACAGAATGTGGAGGAGAGGGCTTGGTGGAGCAGAGCAGCTGATGGAGAAGCAATAGGAAGGATAAGGGACAAGATAGGTCTTTCCTTCTTCCTCCACCTAAGCCCCACTTCCCAGTTTCCAGTATCTCCCAGCAGTGCTGTCAGATAATGAATCCATCAGTGGGTGAGTCCATTGATAAAATCAGTGATCATTGATAAAATCATTCCTGATGCAGTCAGCCCTCCCCCAAGCCTTTCACACATGAGCCTTTGGGAAGTCACTTATATCCAAGCCTAACACTTGCTAATACTTCAGGGCCCCCCTTCTCTCTCTCTTACCTATCTGATAAACTGCATCTTGTATAAAACATTTCTTTGCTTTCTTTATAGTTTACTGATATGATAGATCCCTTAAAATACGTATTATTTTGCTTTTGATTTATTTGTTTAAATATCCATTTATGCAATGAGGTTATGCTGTGCTGTTTTTCACCTTTTCTGCATAGTAGTGTGTTTTTGAGGCTCGTTTAAGGTGATGCATATAGCTGTACTAGTCATTCGTTCATTGTGAGTTGAATTTGATTGTACCACATTCTTTTATGGTCCCATTTAATTGTGGATAATCATTGGATTGATTCTACCCATGGGTCATGAATAACACTGTATACTTGTGTGTCCTGTTACACACATGTAAGACACTTTCAGGTCTTTTTGTATCATGAAATTGTTGGGCAAGTCTTTCTGTCATTTTCCAAAGTGGTTATTCCAATAGGCTTTCCCACTAGCATTTGCTCTGAATCTTTATTAGTTACTACTGTTAGTTGCTGTGGTAAAACACCATGGCAAGGCAACTTACAGAAGGAAGAGTGTATCTGGGCTTGTGGTTGGTTCTAGAGGGATAGAGTCTGGCATGGTAGAGGCAGCCAGAGCAGAAAGCTGAGCACTTACATCTTCAAGGATGCAAAGGAAGCAGAAAAAGCAACAGGCAGTGGGACAAAGCTGTGAACTCTCAAAGCCTACCTCCAGTGACAGCTTCTTCCAGCATGGCCACACCTCCTGGAGGTTCCATGACTCTCCCCAAACAGAGCCACCAACTGGCCAAGTGTTCAAATACTTGAGCCTCCCGGGCATGTCTCAGTCAGAGCACCACAGAATTCTCACCAGTGGTTGATACTGCCTTTCTTTTCAGTTCTTGCCAATTTAGTGAATGTCTTAATTTTCACTTTCATGATTAGTAATCTGATTGAACATCTTTATAATATTGTGCTTATCTTTTTTCATTCTTATTTTTTTTATTCTTTCTCCTCCATTGATTATATATCCTTTAAAAAGCTGGTTTATAGCTATATATTCTGGATACTAATTTTTTTGTTGGTTATCGGGACTGTAATTATCCTTTTTGTAGCTTGTCTTTTCTCTATTTTTTATTTCAAAGTCAAATTTCTCAGTCTTTTATGTTTGATCTTTTAAGTCTTACTTTTACCTTTCACAACTAGGTTGTTAGTCTATCGGGAATTAAAGGAATCTTCAGTCACACAAGAAAGGAAAAGCAATTCAGGTTGATCCTTCTGCACACCCATTGTTCATCTTAGAAGGCTGGCTGTTTTGTCTTTTCTTTTTGCCTTATTTTTGGGAAAAGATTTAAAGCAAATCACAGCGTCAGATAGAGAGAGAGAGAGAGAATATTCAGTTTTACTGGTATTTTATATGCTTGCTATATGTTTCTGAGAGACATATATCCCACAGTAGTTTTTTCAATATTTGTTTTGTAGATTTTGAGGCTATCTTAAAATGTTTAGAACTCTTCATGATTAATAAAATGCTTTATTTTTATTAGGAACCTTCATTATGACCCTTTCTTCCCTGAAGTCTTTTATATCTGATATTGTGTATAACCATGCGAGGTATGGTTTCCTTTCCTTTTTTTTTTTATTCAATTCTCTGTATTGTTACATCGTATTTATTTTTAATTATGTATAAATGTGTTTGTTTGTGTGTGGTTATGTGTACCTGAGTGCAGGTGCCCTCAGAGGCCAGAAGAAGACATTGGATCTCTGGGAGCTGGAGTTGCAAGCAGTTGGTGCCATTGGACATGGGTGCTGGGAACTGAACCTGGGTCCTCTGCAATAGCAATGTGCACTCTTAACTGCTGAGCCATTTCTCCATCCCTTTACCTCATGATCTTTTTTAAACAGCTGTCTTTTGTTACTTGGTTGGTAAATTCATTCCATTAAATATATTTTAAGCATTGATACATATTTATTTTTCTCTTTTTTTCTTGTATTTTTTGTCTTGTCTTTCCTTTGTTTTTTTCTCCCTCTGTCCTGTTTTTAATTTTTTTCCACTATTAGTTTTGATGTGACTCTGGAAGATGTTGCTGTTGACCTACACACTCAGCTTTTCGTTAGGTAGACATATGGTTCCACCTTTTTTCTTCATTTGTGCTTGTATCTTAGACCTTCCTTTTAGGATCCCTTTTCTACTGTATTTAGAATTCCTTTAAATGGTCAACAAGTGACACACTTAAGGTTTTACTTTTGTAAATGCTTTTTAAAGAAAGACATTTTATTTTTTATTTTTATTTTATGTGTATGAGTGTAATGCCTGCATGTAAGTGCACCTGTGTCATGCAGTGTCCACGGAAGTCAGAAGGGGGCGTTAGAGTCCATGAAACTGGAGTTGCAGATGGTTGTTAGCTGCCATGTGGGTGCAGGACCTGAACCTGGGTCCTATGTAAGAGCAGCCAGTGATCTTAACCTCTGAGCCATCTCTCCAGCCCCCTTGTTGTAAATACTTTCATCTCTCCTTACTCATTTAAGATATTCTCCTGGACCTGGGGACTGTAGTTCAGTCGGTACAGTGCTTGTCGGGCATGCACAAAACCCTCCCTAGGTTTGATCCTCAGCACTGTGGAACAGGTCGTGATGATGCAGGCTTGTAATCTTAGACTTGGGAGGTGAGGCAGGAGGATCAAGAGTTTAAGGCCAGCCTTAGCTACATAGTGAATTTTAGGCCAACCTGGGATATACAAAAAAACCCTGTCTCAAAAATTAAAAAAGGTAGTCTCTATGAAATTCTGTTTTATCTCAGCACATTGAAGGCATTTTTTCTTTTTTGGTTATAAATAATTTGGTGTCAGTATTGCCTTTGATTCAGTTGTCCCTTTTATGCTTGCCTTAAAGAACTCTCTTTTACTTCTTTTCAAAATGGTCTCTTTTCTTCATGGACAAAATCCTATATAGTGTGTAGAAATTTTGTTTTCAATTCTGTTTGGAATTTGTAGGTAACTTGGATAAGTCTTAGTTTTAGAAAGTTTGAAGCAAAATTGCTAGAACCATGTCCTACTTTATTCTTTCAACTCCTGTATGATACTGGGCTCACCTCAGCTTTTCTGGGCTGTTCTCTGTGTCTTTTACCCTGTTTTCATGTGCCTTTGACTGCTGTGGTCTGAGCCGTTTCCCTGGTCTTGCACTTTACCCGTTCGCTTTTCATTTGTGGGATGTAAACGACCATTTGCAAATCTGACCATTGCAGTTTTTTGTTTCTACTAACACATTATCCATGGAAGTTGTGTTTTTCTTTTGTAAAATTATGTATGGTGTGTGTGTGTGTGTGTGTGTGTGTGTGTGTGTGTGTGTGTACTTATTTTTCTCAGTATTGCATTGTGGAACATCACAGACACTTAGGATGATATGTAGCTTCTCTAGAGAAGTTTCTGTGTGTTTTTGTTATTCTGTTTCCTTCCCAGGGCCCCATCCAGTCCTTGATCTCATAAATTCTGGACTGGAGGTTTATCAGAACAACCAATTTGCATTTTAAGTTTTAACCCGTGTGAGAGCTGGCTTCTGGCTGTGGATTCTCAGGGGAACTGGTTTTCTTCTCTGTCTTCAGTGCTATGGCTCAGGGCAACTCTTTTAAAAAGTAGTTCCTTTGGAACATGGCAGCTCATTTCTAGTTTCAGTCATGCTGAGGGTTGTAGCTTTTTGAAGGTCCCCGGATTTCCTACCCTAGGTGGATCATTGTTAGGTGTTTCCTGTTCCCAGAGGCCCACAAAACCAAAAAGCTGATAATTGAATTTGCCTAGTTTGGTAAATGCCTTCAAGGCTTTAGAGAGCTCCATTGACTTTTCTCTGTTCTAGCTTTTGTTTCTAATAGTCCAGGCTTTCTTACCAACTTAGGAGTGCATATATAAGGATGTTTTAAAGTGGTTTATCCAGTATTTTCTGATGTTTTCAGTGGGAGGGTTAGTGAGGTTTTTGAGGCCAGTACTGCTGGAAACACCCCGGTTTCCATGCCTAGAACACCCTGGCGTTCTGTGCTGTGCTGCTCTAGATACAGTGGGTGCTCGGTTATCCAGGTAGATGTGTAGCTAGACGGCACTTTGAGGGTTATCCTTTTACATACTTCATACCTGTTAAATTTTTAAGTCTTCTCAACCATTCGGTAACATAGGTATTTTATTATCTGTTTTACAGATGGGTAAAGTAAGACTCTGAGGAAGAATGTGGGCACAAATCAAGACCTTTGATGTATATACCACAGTTCTTTGTTCCTTCCATGGTACCATCCTGTTTTCAAATTAATGTTGTTGACATTGAACAGCTCCTGATTATTTCATGTAAATATGAACACTCAAGAGACCACTAGAGCAATGTGACATCTAAAAGAAGGCATCTCCAAATCCATATCTGAAAGAAATATTTAGCTGAGCAGCCGGCGGTTTTGTCAGTGACATAGTGAAAGCAGCGTAGTGGCTTCTGTTACAGAAAGCAGTGAGAAGAAAGGACTTGTTTGTTGTTGCTGTATTGTGAGACATTTTTGTTATAAAATAAAGGCAATTGTTGTCTTTCCCAACAGGTGTGTATGTAATATAGATTGCAGTGGATACAGTTTTAATCCTGTGTGTGCTTCTGATGGGAGTTCCTATAACAATCCCTGTTTTGTTCGAGAAGCATCTTGCATAAAGCAGGAACAGATTGACATAAGGCATCTTGGCCATTGCACAGGTAAAACCATTCTGTTTACCATCTTGACGATGATACGTTGGTAATCTCACTTAGTAGTGTTTCAAATTTGTAAAATGAAAAATCCTTGAGGCTGATTTTTTTATTACTATATATTTCAGAATTTTTGTCTGTCACTGACTTAGCTATTTTTACCTTCTCAAGACATAAATTGTATTTCTTGGTTGTTTAGTTACTAAGCTTCTCCTTACCTGTATCCTAACACGGGTGTATCTGAATCAATTTTACTTGCATTTATAATTCTAAGGTGATCTCAAATTCAATTATAGCTAAAAGTTGGGCTACTTAATTTCAATTATAATAAAGCTATACATTTGCCATATGTTTCCTAACTTTTTTTTCCATAGAGCATAATAGTTTCCTTTGTTTCTACATTATCTCTTTATAGCCTTTGTCTATGCATGTTATATGCAGTTACAGTTTTTAGTGTGAAGTTGTTGACTATAAAGACAAATTATTCCATTAGTCTAAAATTTCATTTGCCCTTTCTTCTTATGGTTTAGAAAACATAGCCATTTAAGAATTTTTTTTGGTGTTTTTGAGACAGGGTTCCAGCTGGCCAGGAACTCACTGTATAGACCAGGGTGGCCTTGATCTCATAGAGATCTGCCTGCCTCTGCCTCCTGAGTGCTGGTATTAAAGGTGTGTGTCCCCAAACCTGGCAAGAATGAGTTTTTGTTTTCTACCCCTACTGGAAATACTGTCACTGAAGCCAGTGACTTTGGCTTCCTTCCTTGGTAATACCAATGTGGGTTGCGATCATGCATCAGTTTTGTAGTAACACACCTGGGCCAGGCACATCCCATGGACTAGCATTGTACACCTGTCCTGCTTACTAGTTCCACTCCCTTTTACCTTGCTCTTTTGGGAAGCCCCCCAAAAGGGATATGCTTTTTTCTGAGCGAAGGCAAAAAAAAAAAAAAAAAAAAAAAAGGCTGTATGAATGAGCTTGGTACTTTATCTTGGTAATGAATTGTTTGTGACACACTTCCCATCTGATCCTAACAACTCTATTTTGAGCTGCTAGTGTATATAAGAAGGTCCTCAGAGGATTTCCAGTAGGATAGGCATGGGTGTGGTGGAGGAAGCTATTGTCTGGCAGATCCTCTAGGTAGGTGTTCCTCTTGGCTTTGGTCTTGAAATAAAGTTTAGTTTATTTTATGAGGTGGCATTTAGAACTTAGGTGGGACGTTTGAATGGTCTTCCCTGTAGTATTCAGTTCAGGGGAGTGGGCAAGTGGGAAATTTCAACCCAAATTTAGGTAGTCTTAGACTACTTTGGAGTGGTTGTGTCTTAAGTTTTATTTTATTCCCCTTGACAACTTTCCATCCATACCTAACTGTACACATTGCCTCCCTCAGTGTATATTGAAGGCTAAACCTTTGCCTCTCAGGAGGTTTTCTGTTAGTCTTTCCAGTCCAAGGCAGTGCACGTGAAAAAGGTCTTCTTGTTGTTTGGTAATATAGCAATGGTTCCATGCTAACCCTAATCAGATCTTTCCAGGCCAGCAGTGGTACTTGTAGATAAATTTTGAGCTCATGGTTGCTTGGAGAGAGTGTTTCTCCCCAAAATATGTTACTTCGTTTTACACGGAGATTTTAAAGTAGGTGACATTTGAGTGGAATACAATCAGACTGTCATACACAGAGCATATCTACATGGACAGCTTGAGTCCTGAGACAGTAAAGGGACTACTGATGACAAAAATGGTGGAAACTTTCCAGTGTTAACTATGTCAAAATATGACTTTGTATGTAATAAATACAAATAATCTTCTCTGTCAGCTAAAAAGCAGAGAGTTGTGAAAAGCTCGTGTGAGCAGGCTAGATGGACAGAGTTGAGAAGGAGCAGGAGCGGCCGGAGTAGTTAGGAGTTCCTTGGTGTGACTTCAACATCACGTATTAACTTGACAACTGTGTTTTGTTACAGACACAGATGATACGAGTTTATTGGGGAAGAAAGATGATGGACTGCAGTATCGACCAGATGTGAAAGGTACTGAATCAGGGCTTTCTAATTTTAACCAACTCTTGAAATATGGCTATTAGTGGTCCCTCGCTCTGTTTCCATTATAACGACTCCTCTAGCTTTGCTGTCTGTAGTAATATATGAGATGTAGTTGATTAGTACTTACTGAAACACCCGGGATTCCTTTCAGCTTACAGTGTGCTCTCATATGTGCTTTTTATTGATTAAAACCATTGAGGTAATTGTAGATTCTCATGAAATTTTAAGAATGATCTCTCATACATGTTTTTTAAAAATAATCTTTTCAAATGAATGAGAAAGAGAAAATACTCTTCTCTAGAATCTATTACTAACATTTCCCCCTTTGCCCAGGCCTTTGAACCTCATGCCGTTCTCCACCTGGAAGTCTTTTTCTTCTTTGTCTGACAAACTCCTCATCTTTCTGTCTCAGCATGGCAGCCATTTCCTCTGGGAAGTATTCCTTGACCCTTAAATCTGGATTAGGTGACGTCGCATCTTCTGTTTGAGCACTTAACCTGCTCTGTTATAATTGTTTTTTTTCACTCATCTCTGTCTCCCTGTAGGCTATGAGTTCTGTGTGGATTGAGACTATTTGCCATCTTCACTTTGTGCCCCTCACCCTAGCAGAATATCTGACAAATGTGTAACTACCCCATACTTGTCAAGAGGGTGGATGTAGATCAAAGAAGCCTGTACATTTGTACACTGTATCATGCTTAGTAAAGATCAAAGCAGAGACTGTACTCCAGGTCCCTCAACCTCACATTCTACTTGGTTTCCTAGTTTGTGTTCCCATGCATTATTTTAGTTGATTCTTAGAAGTTGTAAGAAGAACCCTAGACCAATGGTGGTACTGAGACTCAATGGTGTTAATCTGGTTAGTCAAAGTGGACCTAGATGTATGGACTCCTAGATCAGGCCCATTACAGGTGCATTTTCTACTGATTTGTTTGGTTATACTAGTAGATGCTTAAAAAATGTGTGACAGAACAAAAAAAAAAAAAGGGAGAAAAAAGAGAAAAAACCAAAGCACTCCCCCCCAAAAGGATGAACATGATTAAGAAAAAAAAAAAAAAGTGTTATATGCCAGACATGATGGTGCATATGCCTGTAATCACAGCATTTACTTAGGAGACTGAGGGAGGCAGGAGGATCGTGAGTTCAAGGCCAGCTTGGGGCTGTGTAGCAATTCAAGGCCAGCCTGAGTTATGAGACCTTGTCACAAAATACTGGTGGGGTGTGGTGGCGCACGCCTTTAATCCCAGCACTCCGGAGGCAGAGGCAGGCGAATCTCTGTGAGTTCAAGGCCAGCCTGGTCGACATAGTAAGTTCCAGGACAGCTGGGGCTACAGGGAGACCCTGTCTCAAAAAGACCCCCCCCCAAAAAAAAGAAAAATCAAGGGCTGAGGATATATTTTAGTGGTAGAGTGCTTGCTTAGCAGTGTAGGACCTCAGGTCTTACACCACAGTAGGGGAAAAAATAGTGTGACCTACCTTATATGAATTTTATAAAAGTTAAATAAGATAACTTAAGTGCTTATAATAGTATTTGATGTAGTTGTAAGTGCTCAGTAAATGGTAAATTTTTGTCATTGAGTACTTTGTTCTTTCCTGAACTTGAGTGCATTAAACCTGCATCTGTTACAACCCATGAGGCTCTGAAATACCATTCCTGTGTTGATTCAAAGTGCTATATTTAAAGTAGGAAATGATCTGCGTTCCCATTGGAGATGTAGTAGATCAGCTCTAGTTTTATTCCCTCTAGTGATAGTGTATGACTGCACCACAAAGACTATTTTTCAGTAGTTAGCAGCTCATATTTAAGGCAATTTGGGGAATTGTGTATATCCAAAACACTTTAGTTATAGTCCTAAAATCATATAACAATCTTGTCTTTGCCACTTTGGAGAAACTAAAAATTCTGTACACATGAGAATTGATATATAACTTAAATGAAATTATAGTTAGTAGATATAATTTGTTATAGATTTAATTAATGCCAGTCCTTTTAACAAACACTACTTGTGGATAGAAAGATCATCTAGTATATGGTCAGCATCTTTAGGGTGTGTGCTAAGTTAGACATGCATATACCTAACTTCTAACAAAGTAGAAATTAAATATCGTCATGTATGTAGAGTTGAAAAGTGTAATGAGCTTCTTTAAAGATGGGATTGCTCTTTGATGGGGGACAGCAAAGATGTGAGAAGAATTATGGAGAAGGCAGACTCTTGAGTGAGCCTTGACGTACAGTTAGAGCTTGAACAGGACCCAGATTCATGTTTAAGGTTAGAGGGTGTGAGCACAGGGTGGACACAAATCCAATGACAGGATGCACTGGAGATTGCTAAGGCATCCCTTTTGGCTGGAGGATAGGGACATTTAGAAGTGAGAGGTGGGCATGGGCAAGAAAGAAGATGTGGGGGCCAGGTTTTGCCCCCTGGAACACTGGGACTTTATCTTGAACAGTGGGAGATCATTAGTACAATATAATTGAAAAGGCCAGGCTCCAAAGTTAGCACTTGGCTGAGTAATGCTGGTAGAACACTGTGCTTATTGGTTCTCTGAGGAAGAGGCAGGAAGATGAGTTCTGTAGACTGCTTAGACTGAAACAGAGAGGATTAAAAATCCTGAGACTTAAGCTCAAATGACTTAGATGATTGGTTCTTTTTATAGAACTAGTATGCTGGGAGGGGAAGGGGAAGGTATTTGGGGTCAGGTGAGGGAACAGTTCGTGGAGGTGGTTAATTGCATTTTGGAATCTGAAATCCTGTGGAATTCATCCAGGCGACAGTTCAGCATAAAGTCAGAGGCAGACCTTGAGTGCAGAGGTGATGCTGAACCTGTGAGAACTAGGGCTGTACTGCTTCGTACAGCAGCCACTGGATGCGTATAGCAGTCTCCTTTTAATTAATTAAAATGAAATCCTAGCCTTAATTCAGGTGTTCAGTAGCCACAGGAGGCCAGTGGCTATTATAGTGTTCAGTGCAGAGAGACATTTCTGGAGGTGCAGGAAGTTCTGTACAGCATTCCTGTTTAGGAGGGAAAGTAGGGCCAGCATGGGGGAAAGCAGCAAGAGGACAGGGAAGAAGGAAACTGGGAGCACAATGCCCAGGAGAGGATGGCTAACGTTTAAAATTAAGGGGATTCCAGGGTGAGGAACAGACTGCCTTAAATTGAAGACAATGAGATCACCAGTAGTGTGGGCTGAAGGTTTCTGTGGAGTTTAAAAGATAAGAATCAGACCACAAGAGTTATGAATTCTAACAGTAAGGAAATGTAGCTCAACATGTCTTTGCCTTTTGTTTTGCTTCCTGTTCTCACAGCATTGGTAGGAGTGCTTAGTAAGTATTTGTGTCTGCAGTGTACAGCCAGGACTGGATAGGTGGGGGCACTTCCATGGGGCCCTACAGTAGAATGCAGGAACGCTGTATCAGCACCAGAAGTTGGAGAGGTTAGAAGGGAGGAGTGCTCAGTGAGAAAGTCTTTTTCAGGGGTGGGGCTTGGGGGGTAACCAGTGAGGTAGGGTTGCTTATAGTAGCATGTTTGTATGTGTACCATGTGTATTTGGTACTTGTGGAGGCCAGAAGAGGGAGCCAGATCCTTTGGAACTGGAGTTATGGACAGTTGTTACCCATGTGGGTGCCGGAAATGAAACCCGGGTCCTCTGCAAGAGGAGCCAGTTCTTTTAACCAAGGAGCTGCTTCTCCAGCCCCTGAACCACAGCGTTTTAATTAGAAAGACAGTCACCTCATTACAAGCCTCCCCTCATCTTTGAACTTACTTATGAGACTCATTAGTCTTTTGTTAGGTCCTGGGGACCCTGTTGGCTAAGGGTGCTAGAGATAGCATAAGTTGTTGTCATGAGTCTCACTGCTTGGTGATTTTATGCATTTTGGGCCAGAGTCTTTTGGTCATTTAAAAATGACATTTTTGTTATTTAAAAATGACAGGGATGTAGGTGCTAGACTCCCTGAAAGAAGCCTGAGTGTGTGGTGTGTGCCACAGCAGGTGTAGAGTCTTGTTGGAGTGCTTCAGGGGTTCCTGAGAGGGGAGGTTTGTTGTGTGGTAAGAGTGGAAGGCTGGCCTGGGAGCAGCTGTAGTGAGCATGCTGGGTAAGGTGGATGGGTAGAAGGGGGATCTGGGAAGTTAGGTGGGTGTGGTACATGAGGAGATGGAAGGATTGCTTTCTAAGAGAGTAGTTGAGGAGGTGAGTGAGTTCATATATATTAGAACTGTTGTTTCCCTGTCAGAGTGGGAAATGGAGGAGTCAGGCTGGGATTAGAGTGGTGGGTTTGGCGATGTGAGTGTGGGAGGTGTTAGAGAGTGGTAGGGATGTATATACTAGGTAGACGCTGCCTTAAAACAGGATTTGGGTTAGGGAAGTGTATAGAGGGATATGTGAGTGGTAAAGGTTGGGATATAGAGTAGTATTGTTTGGAAAGGAACGCAGGCTATTTTGAATTTTTTTTAATATATTTTTTTAGAAGAAGCATTTCATTACAGCTTTAACATACTCAATAACTGAGAGTTAATGATGTATTTATTGCTGATAAAATTGTAACCTCAGCAGCTGACATGCTAGGTGCGTTTGTCAGTGGCTAAGAACAATTAGTTTCTGATGCTTTACCTGGCTTGCTCACCAATGGGTCGGGTCAGATGGCCAGTGGAAAAGGCCTTACAGAGAAGCCACTTGCTACTGTTTCTTATAACATCATTACTAGAACACACTGTGCTTTGTGTGCGAAAACACTGCTGCTGGAGGCAGATTTGTTTGGGAAGTTTCTGTGGCTGGAATGATTCACGGGGCGGCCAGATGTACTTTGTACACTGTACACACTCCAAGCATTGTTCGGACACCAGCAGTTGCAGCTGCTGCTGGTGGAGCCTGTTACCACTTGCCTAAGGGCATTGTTCAGACAGGATCGGTCAGTGCCCAGTTCTCACTGTGCTGAGGCTGCATCTCCGCCTTGGTTTCTGAAATCATGCTTTATTGCGTCTCTAAA